ATATATATACAGGTATGATCAAGAAATATGGTTAATGATTAGATTTTTAAAATTACAATAAAAACCACATTGTATTGAATCCCCCTCAAAACACTCCCCCTTCCTCAGAACCACACTTATCCCATTGTTCTTGCTCTTTTTTTTTTATGGTACGGAGACTGAACTCGGGTCCTTGCACTTGCAAGACAGGTGGCAGAACCACTAAGCTAAATCTCCAGCTCCGTTCTTGCTACTTTCTAAGGAAGTTTGCAGTTCATGTTTACAGCATATTCTATTAAATAAAAGTATTACAGCGTGTGCTTATTCACCAAATGACTTGTGGCTCTGCCTTAAAGTCAAAATGACCAATATAGGGAAACATTTTGACTCAGTTCACGTCATTGAGACAGCCAAGACACTGTGACTAAAAATTTGAAAGAAGACTTCCAGAACTACTTCAGAAAGCAGCAATAACAATAGGATAAGTGTATTAGAAGCAAAAGGGAATATTCTCAGGGGAACTAATGACAGCGTATAGGCTGTGCCCTCAGGAATCCCATTGAAAGTAACAGTAAGCAAAGCATCCCATGCACTCGAGGATTCTTTTTCCCAGGCTTTTTAAGGAGGATCTCAGGAACAAACTGTACTAAGTTTATTTCATCTACATTTTAAAAAGTGCCCATTAGGAAATCAGGCACTGAGTCAACAAAAATGATAGAGATTGACCACTTTGCCTCTTCTCATAACTAAAATACAAGTTGTGATAAAAATATACACTATTTGAATTTTTAAAAAATGGGACGTGGGGAGAGGGAGAGTAGAAGAGGGGGTTTAAAAAACTGAGAAATGTCATGTACATGTACTAACTCCACAATAAATGTAATCATTGCTACAAACTTGTACCAATGAAATAAATGTATTAAAGTAAATGACTCATTGCCACTAATTTCCTTCAGAATACTCCCCCTTGTTTTGAACACTAACTCCGCCTTTCTTGCCATTTTCTGAAGCAGTTCTGGAAGCCCTCTTTCATGAGTGTCTTTACGAGATGTGATTTAAAAAAAAAAAATCTGGTTGAATGCTCCTGCCAAGTGCCATCCCCTGAAAAGCAGGCTCATGAAAACACTGTGGTGCGTCCTCCTCCTCCTTATTTACTGGGCTTGGCACTGTCTAACTTCTGGAGCTTCTTCAAAGTCAAAATAATGAGGAAAAGTAAACATTTTGAATTGATTTAGGGTGTTGTGGAGGCTGCTGCACCAGTACAACTAAAGACGTTCACGAAAGAGGACTTCCAGAAATGCTTCAGAAAGTGACAAGGATGACAGGTTAAATTGTTTTTGAAGTTTTTTTTTTTTGAGAGGGATTAATGGCAATGTGTCTTTTACCATAATACATTTAAAGATTTTAAACATTCACCATATACATTCACTGTATCTTTCAATCACACTTTGTAGATGGAAACATGATGTACTAGAATTAACATCATAGTGTCCTGGTCACAACTGAGACGGCCTGGGTTCACATCTCATGTGAGGCTTTTGTGGACATGTGGTTCTTCGGTCCACTGAAACAGAATCAGTGAGCCCCATGTATCAGACTCTGAGGACTGATTCTGCTTTTGAAGTAAACCCTTCGATAGCACTGATGGTTTGCTGAGGTTTGAGAACTACTGATGTGGCTGACTCCAGTGACTGGTTCCATTTTACTGTTTGCAACAGTCATTTGTATAGATTCAGGCAAAGAACTGTTTTTAGAAAGATCCCCAATATGATAAAGAAAATGACTTCAAAGTACAGTTTATCTTTGCTGCAGTGTTTTCTCAGAGGCGAAATTCTTTTCCCAAGCCATTTCTGGGAAAGGGAACATTTTGTCACTTTTCCAAGTGTATTTGGTAAATCGTCACTTATATCAAGATTAAGATTTTTGCAACATTCCAGTGCTAACCAGACCTATTAGAAACTGGGACTCTGTGATCTATGAGATCCAGCTACTCATGTACCCAAAATACTAGGCCGTATCTTCCATCTGCTAACAGGCATTTTTTTTTTTTTTCAGTTCCAGGGACTGAACTTAGGACCTGGTTCTTGCAAGGCAGGCATGGTGCCACTAAGCTAAATGCCTGGGCTTGACAGGTGTTTTTTATTCTCATGATGTCCCTTGCCGTACCTCCAACCACAGGCTCTTTCCACTTTTTCTAAGGCTCCAGCAGCAGCAGCAGCAGCTTCAGAAGCATTCATATGGAAACCATGTAGGTGGTTCCTGGTATCAGGTCTTTGATGCTCTTGGATTTGAATGAGTCCGTGATAGGCTCTCTCTCTTAGGCGAAGGAGTCAAGTCTGCATCCTCTACTCATACCCTCTCCTTGGACAGACTCCATCCCTTATGATTCCAAGCAAAGTGTCCTAGCTTCACGGTGAGGTGAGGACAGAGCTGAGATGTGAGTAGAAGAACTTACACTTGCTCAGTTTCCAGAACCGGGAGTCTCCAGCCATGAAGCTCTTTGGGCAGAGCTGTCAGTGATGGGCCAGCTGTCTCTGCCCTTGACTCCTGAGCTCCAGGAATGGTGACTCTTCCATCTTGGCCCTTTTGTATTGAATCTGGATGCAACCTCAGTGTTATTCCCAACACAGTGTCCAACTCTTAACTGGAGAACTCTGGAGAGAATTGAGTACTGAGTCTGCATTTTCTTGTCTATGTGAGCATGGCTTACTTTTTAAGGCCAGAATTCAAATCCCTGCTCAGAAGTTAGTATCAGTGAGGTTAAGAAAAGTGCTGGTTGCAGTATGGCACTTAGAGATATGATTTGCTGGCTTTCAGCTTGTCCAAACACATGCTAAGGGACTGACGCATCATGGCTCAGGGAAAGGAGGGTGAGTGGTCCCTGGTGTCTGAGCCTGCGGTCTGACTCTGGCATGAGACAGAGAGGGCGACACAGGACACATGGAAGGTGGAATTGGGCATCTGTGGCATTGAGTCGGGATCTGCAAGCTGCACACGTGCTTAAGGGAAAACAAAATTAGAAGCAGCCTGGGAAAGACCAGCATAGGATAAGGGATGTTCCTCTTTTTCTCCTTTCAAATCACAGTGAGTGCACCATCAACTTCCCACCTGGGCGGAAAACCAGACCAAAGATGACTCCCGGTGACAGATGCTCACAAATTCAAGTGGAAAGCTTCCGTGCACTCAGTTTCTTTTCTCTGAAAGCCGTCAAAAAGAGTGCACCTCTCAGTGTGGGTACCCCCGAAATATCCATGACAGTGCCTGTGGAACATTCTAAAGCAAGGGGGTCCTGATGGGAGGAGTCGTCCTCTCTCCAAGAAGCATCTACACACTAACTTAGTACTGAGGCTCCAGTAACTTAAGCTCACCACAGCAGCAGCAAGAGGGAATAATGTTAATGGGTGCTGTTTGGTATCATTCTAGACTCCCAGATGTCTTGATTTACAAAAGGTTTCCAAAACTAGATGTGTCATTAAGTAGAAGAGCTATTGTGTAACATTTAGGGTCAGAAACTAATCACCTGCACAGGTGGCACCTGGCTGGAAACATACAAGACCGGTTTGTGCCACAGGGTCATCCACAAATTACTAGTCTGTGCTACAGATAACCAGAAAGGACAAAGACTTCAGGCCAACTACCGGATGTGCAATGATGGCACATGGAGCCCATGACAAAAGGAATCCTGCTATCTGCTTGGCCAGCCCAGTAGGCCAGCCAGAGCCCCTGGAAGGAATCTACTTTCTTGACCTTGGCAGATGTTACAGTTGTCCTTAGGATGTCCCCTCCCATTAGATCGAGCCCTTCTGATTTGGGGTTGGGAGAAACTGCCCCTTAATTTTCCCCCAAAGGGACTTGGAGTTAATGAACTCTCTTTTTAATAACAAAAGCCATCACAGCAAAATCTAAGCCCTGTCTTGTCTGGAGACCCACACTCTTTTCTTCAGCTTCCTGTGTTGGTAGCTGAATGACCTCTGCAGCAGCAATAACAAACCTTTTTACAATCCTTGGAATTACACTGTGATTTGAAAGGGGTCTCCTGGTCTTTGCCTTCCTCATCTCTCCCTCAAAAAGAAAAATCCCTTTGGTAACTCTTATGAGTACAAAATTCCCACTTGGAGAAGAGCAGGTCCAGGCAGGCCAGAATTTCTTAAGTCTGGTAGAATTCTCAGTACACGTTGGCAGTTCCTGAAATGCCTTCAGAGGACATTCTGTCCATTCACCATTGTTTCCCAAAACTGTGCATATGTGTGTACAGGAGCGTGTGTGCAGGAGGGCGTGGTGTCAGTCTTCGTCAGCAGTGAATCTCCACTTGGAACACATGTAGACATAGCTGCTGCCTAGGATGAGTAAGACCAGCACAGTGTGACTGAGTGCCAGGACCCCTACTGCAAAGAGGTATAGGGTTCTGTCACAGTAAGCCTGAGGTTGCTGAAAAGGTGGAATAAAGTCTGGCCGGTACACAGAAAAGACCCAGTAATTTCCCAGAATGAACCAGAGGAAGAGGAAGAGGCTGAGGATGAGGTGGATGTAGTATTTGTGCACATTCTGCCTCCAGGGATATTCATCATCATCATCATCATCAATCACCACGGCTTTGGACAGAAGCTGCCTCATCCTGGTGGAGTCATACAGCAGGAGAGACACCTGGGTAATAGCAGGGAGCCAGGGTTACAGGACAGGGGGCAAAAGATGGGGAAGGGAAGAAAGAGTCTATGAGATAATGAAATCTTGCATACTGAGGTTAGAAACGCTGTCAGAGAGTAAAGAAATTTCATTTTGAAAAATTAGTTTTAGAACTGGCAGGAGTGAAGGCATATATCCATAGCCAGCATCCTTGGTGGCACTTTCCCCCTGAGGTGTAAACTGGTTTGGATAAGCATTAAGATGATACAAATTTACCTCTGTAGCAAGACTTGGGACCAACTTTCCCTTCTATTGCTCTAGCACACTTAGAACAGTACAGAAATTATACCTGGTCTAGATGCTAGAGGACCTCACAGTTAGACCCCCCTGTCTTGTGAGGAACCCCCAGCAGACTTCTAGCCACTTCCTTGCCACTTCCAGGCCATTTCCCAGCCCTAGCAATTCCAGGTACCATTAGTCCTTTCTTCTTCCTCCACCCTACCACCCTGCTTTTCTCTTTGGGATGTTTCTGTTCCTCCTGTCTCCAGTGATCTGCAATTCCCATGTGAGGCCATGGAGCATATGTCTCATAAGTCAGTGATGCAAGCCCTTGTCCTTTGAACAGTACTGTCAGGGACAAAGATCATCTCCATCCCAGATGGGTGGCCCCTGACCCCACCCCTTTGAAATTCCGTTCCTGTGTAATTAAACAAAGGACCACCATTCCTACCCTCTCAGACTGGCCAGTGTCTCAGTGTTCCATCATGAGGCACAGCTGGGAAGAGTATAGCCTTTGCTAAGGGAAGCTTTGGTGGTTCCCTGTTCTCTCTCTGCCTAGCAGCTGGATCTAGGATCCCATTTGAAAAAGCTAACCTGCTCATCTGTTCTATTCCAACTTCCAAGGGTCCCCACCTCTCCCTTAATCAAACCCAGGGCCCCTTTAACTCATGGTGAACAGAACTTAGAATCTTTTGATAACCAAGAGCATGGCAGATTGGTGAGGGGAAAGTTTCTGAGCTTGGGTTAAATGGGAGGGTAGAGAGTACCCCAGAAATGTCACCAAACTGGTTCCAAACTGGGACAATGGTGTGGATAATAATAGAGCACCCCAAGCTGCCCTTTTGGGTGGGAGATAATGGTGGCTAGGAGGGGGTGGTCAGAGCCTGGAGGTGAAAAGAGAAGTGAGGGTTATGACACAGATATGGGAGTTATTTGCGTACAGGTAACAATGATACTGGCAATGTATGTTATGAAAAAGGAGACTCTGGGGGTGGATGAGATGCTTAACATACATTATCTTGGTTAATTCTCCTACCAGTCTGAGATGAGCTGAATTAAATCAATTTGTGCCCAGGAGGACCAAACCCACAGCCATCGGGCCACAATGTCCACAGCAATTTTTTCTGGGTGATGTAATTGACAGGTTATTTAAATTTTCTTCTGGTGTTTTCCGTATTTCATAATTTTCTATTGTGGAGAGTTATGACATAAAAAAAAATAAAACCTAAGTAAAATGCTTGTCCAATACTGGGCCCTTGAGACTGATGACCTTTCATGCTTAAGCTAACCTAAGAGCTGTGCATGACTGCCCTTCCTGCATGTAGAAACTAAGGCTCAGAGAAGTTAGGTTGCTGCACCCAGTCCACTCTGAGCAAAAGATGAGATGGGAGTTGATCCACACCTTCCTGACTGCTTTCTGCACCATAATGCAAGAAGCTTATCTGAGAAGTGTGAGGCTTGGCCAGAGGTATGTATGAGAAATGCAGAGATAAGGGGCTTTTAGAGCCATAAGCCCAAAACCTCAGGAATGAATGGTTAGAGATTGAAAGACAGCCTACTAGGACACTAGTCACGGTAGAATCAAAATGCATTGGCTTAAGGAGTGAATGTTCTGGCCTTTGTCCTCCCCATGCTCCTTTATCACTTAGATTACTCCCAAAGTCAGTCTACAGCGAACTGTCTTCACCATCCCCTATTCTTCCCCAGTCCCTGTGCATGAGTTTCTGACCAGACACCTTTCTTTTTTTCTTTTTTTGTACCGGGGATTGAACTCAGGTCCTTGCGCTTGCAAGGCAGGCCACCGAACCGCTGAGCTAAATCCCCAGCCCTCAGACAACTTTCTTATTTGATCCTTGCTTCTGGGTTCTATCAGTAAAAGGCCACAAAGGCTTCAGTTCCAGCACTGTCATTTGAGACTTTCTCATGCTGAGGTGTCTCAGTTAATGGCAGCCCCTCTGGACCCTCTTGGAGTATGGATTGGACATTGACTCCAAGCAATCTTTAAGTAATCTTTCATCTTCTTGCCCCATGCCACAGTCATGAAACTGGGACAGAGAGGTTCTCTGCCACACAGGAAGAACACTCCATCTGTGGGTGTAAGACCTGCAACCTGGCAGGAAGGCAGAATTTTACTACAGGAGAAGCCAAATGAGAGCTTAGAAGAATCAGAGGTATAGATCTGAGTCTTCCAGAGATGGCTTACCAGAAGAAAGGGCAGACTTAGGACCACTAAGAGCAAGAAAAGGTGAGCAGCACCTTCAGTGAGGGATGGTGAAGGGCAGAGGTTTGGGGAAGAGGACTAAACAGAATGGACTTGCTGGGGAAAGGGGTGCTGGGTTGGGCATAAGGCCTGCCTTCCTCTCTCCGAGCTTAAAATTAGTATCGACAGCTAAATTAGGTAAAAATATTATAGGCAGTCAGATAGGGCTGGGCTCTCGAGAGTCAGTTGAAAAGATAAAAACATATTACAACTGTGGCCAGAGATGCATCTGTTAGAAGCCAGGGCTCAAGATAAAGAAAAAATGACCAGGCTCACATACTTCCCTAAGGAATAAGTGGTAACACCTGGCCCAATAAAGTCTAGATAGACATCAGTCACCCAATGGGTGACCAATATCTCTGGATCCATTCTTTCCTAAAAAAAAAACAAAACTTTATTCTTTCCATGTACACTTGCTACATGACTTGCTTCCCCATTGGATCTATATTACCTAAGCGGGTATGCTTGTAATCTTCTTAGTTGATCATAGTTTTCCCCCACTTTTTAAACACCTAATGATTTTGCTCTATAAAACTTCTCCTGTGAAGTGGGGTCCGTGGCAACCCGTTTGGGGCTGAAATTTCCTGTCTCAAGAGATAAAATCGCTTCTCTCTCAATAAATATTTCCTACTCCATGATTCCTTATAATTCCTTTTCAGTTTTGGGGAGCACGAACTCAGTGTATCTGACACCTAGCAGGTTGAAAGTTATATTATTTCCCCTATGTCATTTCGAGGTCTTATGTCAAAATGATATTCTAGCTGACGGTTCAGTCGCTCAGCATCCACTTTCCTTCCTGACAGAGCCTTACTGTTGTTTTTTTTTTTTTTTGGTTGTTTGAGACAGGGTCTCACTATGTAGTTGAGACTGACCTGGAACTCACTATGCAGCCCAGGCTGGTCTCAACCTCACAGCAATCCTCCTGCCTCAGCCTCCCGAGTGCTGGGATTACAGGCATGCACCACCACACCCGGCACCTTGGCCCTTTTTCTGTTTTTTAAAATTTGAGACAAGGTCTTCCTAAATTGCTAAATTTCCCAGGTTGAGTTTAAACTTGAGATCCTCCTGCCTCAACCTCCCAGATTACAGATTATAGATGTTTACCACCAGGCCCTACTCCAATTAATTACTTGTTAAATTAATTGAAGTTGTTTTATGTTTTGTTTTTTGGTTCACCCCATTTAAAGAATCCTTTCTAATGCAAGTACTTGCCTGGGGAGCATGGCTTTTGAAAACTGAATGAGTCTTAAGTGGGGGTACAGACCTTAGTACCCAGCACTTGCAAAAGGCCAGTATCACTAAGAAGGAGGATAGTGAAGATGAGTTGCAGTGTGTGTAGATAATAGCCACCAAAATCAGTGATTTTGAAACTTTCTTTTAAGATGGTCCTCGGTAACAACCACATTATATATCATGACCCCGTAACTGAGTAACCACCAGTCTTTAGGGGCTCAGAGAAATTCTGGTTTATGCTATTGTCCTGGGGCTCAATATGTACCATTCTGAGGGAGTTAAATACAAAGCATTATCATTGTAAGTAAACTTCTGCCTCTGAGGACTCTATAAACCTGTTTGCTGCTGCTCTAATGGTTATGGACTCACTGTGCATTACCTCACCATGATGAGCT